GAATGGATACAAACAACTGTTTGGAGAGTTGGGGCCACTTCAGGGGTGCCTTGCCTACAGGACCAGTGAAGGCTGCTGGGATGAGCTCTCAGAAACACTTCTGAGGTGCCTGGGTGAGGCCAACTTGCTGAGGCCAGCAGGGACCAAGAACCCTCTTGCTCTGAACAAGACCTCTCATCCAATTCCCCATGTGAGCCACCTGCATGGTAACCAAGCTTCCACCTCTGGAGCTGGACCATAAAAAAGGGTCCAGAGGAAACTCGTGGGCCCTCCTCCCTGGTCTTGGCTGTCTCTGCACTCCCGTACCCTCACACCCCACAGCTGTTTCTGCAATGAGATCTAAGGTCTCAAGGCAGCTCTCGTCACTCAGAGATGTATCTCCAGCTGCAGACAGGACTGCCACCAGGTCAAAAGGGGCTGGGGATCCTGAAGCTCACCACCACCCCAACTCTCTGTTCCCCCAGGCCTCCATGACTACCTACATCTTCATGGCTGCTACCAGTCAGAGCAGAGCTGGTATCAAGAACTGTCTCATTTGCCCCTAACAATGTCCAACGGTAACTGCATTTAAAAAATATTTTATTTATTATTTTTATTTTATGTGCATAAGTATATTGCCTGATGTATGTGAGTGCACTCATGTCACGCAATGCCTCTGAGGTCAGAAGAGGGCGTTGGATTTCCCTGGAACTGGAGTTAAGGGTGGTTGTTAGCTGCCGTGTGAGTGCCGGGAATCGAACCCAGGTCCTCCGTAAGAGCAGTCAGTGTTCTTAATTGCTGAGCCATCTCTCCAGCCCCCAGAATTAATTGCTTTTTTCCTTCTTACAGATGATCCTCTAGTTAGGAGCAAAAGCTAAAGTACTACTACCCAGAGCCCTCTGCTCCAGCACCCCAAAATGCCTCTCCGTACAGACTCATGATAGGACCACAGTCTCCTCCTCTCCTAGGCCCTCTATATACTCTCTCCACTTTCGTGTCCAGCCTCTAGCTTCACCCTTGCCTCTATCACTTCCTGCTTTCTTTTCTGCAACAAGCATCTCTACAAAGCTAGCAGTCAGGCTGGGTGCTGAAGAGAGCTATGGAGATAGACAAGACCCAGAGGAAGGGACATGGGTCGTGCCAACCCCTGCCAGAGTGCTGCATTTCCCAAGAAGGAACCCTTGGATCGGGTCCTAAAGGATGAAAGAATGGGTAGCGGTTGAGTGTGCGCATGAGCAGAAATGGTGAAGCAAGTCCTGCGTTTGGGGTTTTGTGGGGGTTTTTTTTCCAGGCTAAACCAGGCAGTGTCTGATGTAAGCATTTTCAACTGGGATCCCCATTCCTGTGAGTGGAATCCTGGTGCCTCCTCTCTCCACAGCAACTCTCTGCCACATCAAGCTCTCTGAGAAAGTGACTTAGTCATCAAAAAGTGGTGTGCTGAGTCAACAATCACAGGGTTCAGCCCCAGGGGGCTGGACCTAGTGCCTGAGGTGAGCCCACAGATAGATCCAAAGACAGGGACCACCAACAGTTTCCACCAGTGATTTGGCCTTGCCCACTACTGGCCCCAGAGGACAGGTCTTCTCTGAACTTAGGGTGTGTCTCCAGAGCTCTACAGCCACCCCAAGTTGCAGCTGTGCAGGAAGAGGTGCTACGAAGAGTGGGAAAGGAACGGCCACACCCTGCTCTAGCCACCCCAGGTTCCAAGACCTCTTCCCAGACACGCGAGCACTCCCCAAAGGAAAAGCCCAGTGTTTCTGAGAGCAGCCCCTGGGTGCCTCCAGCAGTCAAATACCCTGCGGACATCTGCTTAAGCTGCAGACTCCTTGGAGCCTCCTCACTTCTGAATCTGAGTCTGCGCACCAGCCCTGGAGAATGACATGCACAGGGCCTCTAGGCCTTGTGCTTTCTAGTGCCTTTTCCACCTACACAGTCCGTTCCCATTTCTCTGGCTGTGCCCTCCTGCTTCAGTCATCCCCAACAAATGCTTCCAATAGGGATTTGTGGGAGAAGGTAAAGGCACTTCCTTCTCTGTGTCTCAGTTTCTCTTTTTGAAAAATGAACAGAAAGTGACCCTGAACACCCCATGACCCCTTCACAGACATCATCAAAGAAGGCTAATCAGAAACAAGGAAACAGCAGCAGCGGGAAGTCTCCAGGAATTCTCTGGAAATTTCATATTATTAATTCAAGACCACAAAGCTAAAGACTCAAAACAAAAACATAGAAGTGGACGGGCTTTGGTAGAACTAAGTGTTCTGTAGCAACTAATTTCATGGTGCCACTAGTAGCAGTTTGTCAACTGTTTTCCTCATCCTCATCTGGGGGCCCACAGCCTGAATGGTTTCTTCCTCTCAAACTAGACCTTGTCTCAGTTCTTGCCCGCACAACCATGGAGGAGGACACCCACCACGGTCCTGACACCAGCCTTGAAAATGCAGCCTCTGTACCAGGACCAAGCTGCTTGCATACAGGGGAGAAAACCAAGGCCTTAAGATGTTGGGTGGCCTGGTCAGGTTTGTGTAAGTAGACAGTGGCTGAGCTGGGTTTTGAACCCAGTGTGACCTCTAGGCCATTCTCTTATGCACAAGACTGTAAAGACGCTGCTCTCCCTGACCACGCCCTGCTAGGGGCAGCATGCTGAATAGTTCATCCCCCTGCTTGACTGTCAGTCCCCTCAGTGCACTACCCTGGTCCTGGCATGATTTTGCTCTCCTTGGATACAGTGAGGATGAATGCAAAGCCCCAGGTCCTGTCCCAACCATAGGTCCTCCAAGCCTGGGGTGCCGCATGAGACGCTTCCCAGAGCGCCAGAGCCCTAGAAAGCAGCTTTCTTCTTCTCTGGCAATGGTCCTGTCCCATGTCACCATGGAACTGGCAGTGAACGTGGCCTCAGGGCTCAGCAAGTGTTACATGTGGCCTGGCATGATATGGCTGTGACTTGAAGCAACATCCAGACCAAAGGGATCAGTCACCTGTGGATGCTTCACTGGAAAAGGAGGAAGGCAGGCCTCTGGTTTTGAGATTTATCAAGCCAGAACTGGGGGTGTTCTCTTGGCATACAACTGAAGACAGCTCAGGGGACAGATGCCAGTGCCTACTTCAGCCACATCCTGAGTACTGAAAACCCAGAGTCCCTGCCCTGGCAGATCTTAGGAGGTTTCAAGGGCTCTGGGAGCTCAAAGCAGTTTGAGGAAGGGTTGTGCTAAGCTCTGGCTGCTCCTGGGACCAGTGCCCTCAAGTTTCTTTGTCCCAGAAGCACACAATCACTCCTGTTATGATTCTGATGGCTGCTCCTTCCAGAGGGTCTGTCCCTCTATCCACTTCCCTTTTCGACCCATGGGGCTGATTTCTCTCCTAGATCCCATCGCCTGGCTCCAGGGGGAACATACTTGGAAGAATGGGGAAAGTGGCTTTGGTCTTTCAGGAATGAGGGCAGTCGAGACTCATCAGCTCCAAAGGACATACAAGCCCTGACCTGGAGCTACCGAGCTCTCACTCCTTCCAAGTCTCCCTCCTCTAGGAAGCCTTCCTTGAATTTCCCAACTAGGGTCGCTTCCCTGCTCCAAGTGTAGGGAGCCCTTATGCTTTCATGAGTCTCAAAGCTGCACCACCCTCTGTGGTCACGATCCATCTCTGTCACTGACTTGTGAGTGTCCAGATGACGTAAATGAACAGCTTTTGAGCACCTGCTGTGTGCCTGGCCTTGCCCTGGGTACCTTGTATGAGTTACACCTCCCCAGGGCTGAGAATTGCTGGAAACAGAGCAGGGCAGGTGAGATAACTCTGTTCCTTCCTATCCTGTAGTGAGTGGACTGGGGGTCATGAGGCAAACAGCACATACACGAAGGCCCGCCAGCAACTTGTACCTGATATGTGCACCTGTGCTCTGACTTGCTGGCATCCACTGTTCAGATGAGGTAGTTGGGTCCATGCAAAGAGTTCCCTAAGCCTCCCGCTGCAGCTCTGTGAGGGGGTGAGGCTCATTTAGAGCCTCTCAGCAGTGCTCAAGACAAGACTAAAAGCAGGTGTCAGAAGGCTGAGCACAGCAGGCGAAGTGGGAGTGCCTCTCTAGGGTTCCCAGAGTGTATGGAGCAGAGCTCCCTGGATTTTGCCCACTTCGGGTCCCCAGACACTGCTGTGCCACCTGCCACGATGTCAAAACTAAGTACAAATGGGCCAAGGAGGACACAACTCCCAACACCTTAGAGGCTGCAAAGCCCAGGCACATAACAGTCCTAGGAGGGAGTTGGACTGGCACAGCCAGGTGCCCCAGCTCCAAAGCCGCAGAGAAGACAGGAGGACCCGAGTGTTCAGTCCTTCTTGGAGGCACGGTATCACTCTACCTTTCCAAAGAGGCCAGGGCTCTTGGCTCCCTCTGTCCCCATGTGAACAATCCAGCCACACAGCCTGTGCACTGCAGATCCCACTGATAATGCCACAGTGACACTTGATTTGGCGCCTTCTGTCTGAGTATGAGCAGCTCCATTCCCAGCCCTGAGTTCGCCCAGTGCCCAGCACATGTCTATCACAAACTACCATCCAGCTCCCTTGCCCTAAGCTCCAGGCCAGTGACAGGATTCTTGACCTGAGTTTGCCACTGGCTCTCAGTTTCCTCATCTATTAAATGGGCACATTTTACTGAGGACCTGAGAGAGTCTGTGATTCTTGCAGTAAACCAACTCTAGGATCACCCTGCCCCCTCCCGGCGGGCCGTTTACTAACAACCAAGGGCTCTTTTCCACAAAGGATGAGGACAGAGGGATTAGGCCAGCCAGGGGGCCACTGGCCTTTGTTAGTCACGCTAACCTTCTCCCCCTCTAGGTCTCTTCACTCGCGGTGAAAAGCGTAAAAACGAGCGAAATGCCTCCCTGAGGAGAATCCCAGGAGGGATGCTTGGGGCGAGTATGGACTATGGGTAGGGAAACTGAGGCCCTGCGTTGTGTCCAGCGGGACACAGACAAGGTGTTCCTCGCTGCCTCCCCGTCGGGTCGCGCCCGACGGCGACTCGACAGCCCTACCTGGCACAGGTGGCCGGCTTGTGGGGTGGGCGGAGGGTAGGATTGCGCTGCGCGGGCTCCTCGGGTGGGCAGCGCCGGACCTGCCCGGCCGTGTCAGCAGGCGCGGAGCGCGGGGCGCAGCGGGGAGCGCGGGGCGGCGAGGAGGCGCGGACTGGTCTCTGTCCGTCCACAGAAGAACAAACAGGTTTTCTCCGGCTGCCTGGAGCCTCGCCCCTCGCCCCTCCCCTCGGCCGGCCTCCTTCCTCTGCCCTCTCCTGGGGTAGGTAGATGCGCCTGGCACATTCCGCACATTCTCCCGCCAGAGTCCTCGGTCCTCCCTCCCCTTCCCGGCTCCGCCCCCGAGGAGCTGCTGGAGAAATCAAGGCCAGGGCTCCCCTCTCTGGGCGCAGAATGAGCTCCAGAAAGTTTTGCCGCCGTGGAAAACTTCCAGGCAAATTCCTCTGGGCTCGCGGCCCCCGGGCTGGGAGGCCTCCACCACGTGAAGGGCCCCCGCTGCCTAGTGGCGTCCCTGCCTGCGCCAGGCGAGATCTGGCCCAGGCTTGTGGCCAACGACTTCCACAGATGCTGTCGGGTAAATTCTGTCGAGAACTACTGTGCCTAGATCCATTTTACAGATGGAGATCCCAGACAGGGGCGGGGAGAGGGAGGGGGTGGGGGGTGCTGGTGGCTGAGATCATGCCGGAAGTCTTGGAGGCAGAGGAGAAAAAAGTAAGCAAGCTGCTCCCGTCTGGCGCCTGGGAAGACTTGCATCCTGGAAGGCCATTCTTGGTGAGGGGCTCCCAAGGTCCCGCAATCAGGACCACCTCTGGGACTAGGCCAGGAGACCCATTCAGACCAGTTGAGCCAAGGCAGTTTAATGAGTAACATTCATTCATGCTTGCTGAATCCTGAGGGCTAGGATGGAGGGAGCATCCAAAAGAGGCTCCTAACCCCACCTGTGAAGCCAGGAAAGATGTACCGGGAGAGAGGAAAGGCAAGCCAGCCCAAGCAATGGCCTACCATGACAGGCTCAAAAGAATGTGCCAATGAGTCCTCCTTCATAAAGTCCTGCCAAGTCCATAGCGATGGTGGTGGCCCTCTCCATGCCCACTGGTTTCCTTACCTGGGGGCTCCTTCCTTCCAACAGTCACCACACAGGTCAAGCAGCTAAGCCACCTGCTTACAACTATCCCGCAGCTTCTGGCTGCTCTTGGCATCCAAGCCTTAACATGACTTAATAATTCACTGTAGTCACCCTCTCTCTGCATGCCCAGCCCCTCCGTTGCACTCACAATGACCTCCTCTTGTCCTCTGAGGACATCATGTGTCCTCTCACACGTTTGCTCAGATGTTTGCTCTTCTACTCACACTTCCGGCAGTGCCCTTCCTGCCTCTGCCCAGAGAACTCAGCCATTCTTCAAATGTCACTGAAGTCCTCCCAAGCCCTCCCGTCTGTCAGTCTAGTTGACCACTTCCTTCTGTTCACTCCCCCAGTTCCCTCAAATGACAGTGACCATAACCCTGTATTGTTCTAGATGGTTAATTCTGGGATGTTGGCACCCTGTCTGATTCATCTCTGGGTCATGGAGACCAGCCGAACAACCCAAGTCTTTTGCAGAAGGAAGGGATGGACATTGCGACTCTGAGAGGAGGAGAATCTTTCTCTTTGTAGGGTTTATCAGACAGGAAGGAAGTACCCTGTTTTGGGGGGGGGGGGTCTAAAGTGACTTTGGTTCATCTTTGTCTCTTGCCAACAAGTGTTTTTCCTTCTAATTCAGTTGGCCCCAGGCCAGTGGTCAGAATCAAATGTTCCCCCACTGGGGCTACTCATGACTATGCACTGGGTTTGGCATCCTAGCTCCTAAACACACTATGACCTAGGGTTGGTCACACAGCCTCTCTGGTCCTAGCCTGCAGAGAGAGAATGTAGAATGCAGAGTGATGCATGGCAGGTAGGAGTGAGTAAGGGGGTGGCTTTTGTCTCCCAAGGCCCTGCAGAAGAAAAGCAAGTTCGGCTCCAGAGCCCTGAGTCAGGGTGGGCCATCATGTGTCCAACAGTGTAGCTGCGCTGGGCCTCAAGCTCTTCCCCAAGTGACTCAGCCCTTGCCCAACATAGATCCTTCATGACAGCTGCAGCCCAAAAGACCAGCCTTTCCTCAACTCCTCCCTCTCAGCCAGGCTGCCAGGCCCTGCAGCAGATCTTGCCTGCAAACGGGTTTGACTCGAACGGTAAGTGCCCTGCCCTGCCTTGCCTACCTGTTCACTGCCCCAACAGAATATTCCAGTGATGCTTTTCACCCCCATCCTCTGCCAGGGCCACATCAGGTTATCTCAGTTGTACATTATTTGGGGAAGAGACTGAGACAGGCACTTGCTATATATGGAGCCCATGCTGGCCTTGGATTCACAGCAGTCCTCCTGCCTCAGCCTTCTTACGCACATGTATAAGTCATACAGCTCCAGATACACCAGGTGCTGTCAAATCACCAGGTCCCAGCACAAGATACCTCCTTTGTTTGGGGTGATAGTTCTTCTCTGGGACATCAGGTAACCTCCCACTCACTGTCAGCTGTCAAGCTGTCATCTTCATGAACCTTCCTTTGAATTCCCCTCAAGCTCTAGTCTAAGGTTTTGGTGGTCACTGGCCCAGACTTGGCTGTACCTGTGCCTTGTCTGTGCCTGTGCCTGGCCTGTGCTTGGCCCTGTGCCATCTTACTTTGTACTCCTTTTGTGTTTTGGGCCCTGGCTCCAGCTGGACTGGCCAAGGAACCTCTTCCTTTCAGACTCACGCGTTCATCCCTCCATCTTTTCCTTTTGGCTCAGGCAGAGTTCTTCAGAAGCACCCTCCTCCCAGCTTGGGCATCAGCGGTGCTTCCAGGTAAGTGGGCACCTTTGTAAGCAGAGGTGCTGGTTCTAAGTGCAGTAGGCCTGGGGAGCACACTGAGCTACAAGGGGAGGCAAGGAGTGGCAGGTTGTGTGCCTGTTCTGAGGTGGCTACGGCTCAGGAGCAGATAACCAAACAGCTTTTCTGGCAGCGAGACTGAAGTCAACAGATGGGCTGGAGGGCAGGTGGCTGTCTGAGGGAATAGGCCAGCAGCATTCCTAAGGCCCCAGGGAGGCCCTTTCCCATCTGCAGGGCTGAGAGAGAAGTCAGGCAGGCCTGTCTAGCTGAAGAGTTCCCAGACTTGGGAGGGGAAGACAGGTGGGGCCCTGAAAGCTGTCAGGACCCAGAGCTGACCCGGGCAGGATTCCTACATCAGAGTGGACTAAGACAAATAAGCTGAACCCTGCAGCTGTACACATGGAGAAACACAGGCAGGGAGGGAGACGACTGGTTTGAAGGTCTCACAGCTAGTCTGGTGCAGAACTGAACTCCAGTGACTCTGGATGGACTCTGCCCAGCTGGGTTGCTCAGTTTGTGTATGGGGAGGGCAGAGCTTCTGCTTGTACCCTAATCCCCCCTTTCCCTCCCTCCTTCCCAGGTCCCACCCAGCTGCCTCATCCTGCTAAGCTCTTGAACCAGTTTGCACTTGCTAGGTAAATCTGCTGACACTTAGCAGGGTGGGTCCCCTGGGGCCAGGGGTCCTCAAGCTAGACAGCTACACCCAGGAAGGGCCCTATGGAGCCCTGAACCTTTGATGTTAGACCTCTGTGTTTGTCACCAGCTCCCTGTTAGGAGATAGCCCAAATTATCAGTATGTGGGGTCAGTCCCTTGCCCCCAGGTTTTGCCTTTGGAGTCCCCCGCCCCGACTCCCTTGGTTTACATTCTCTACGATGAGGCTGTGCCTCCTCTCTGGCATGTACACTCTTACTTGTCAAGAGCTCTCTCTCCCTGTCAGGTGCTCCCCTGCCCAGAAAAATGCAGACCCGGTCCCAAACTGAGGCAGCTCCCATTGTGGTGGCAGAGGCAGAGTAGTCCCTCTCTGAAGGGTACTTTCCATGCCCAGGGATTGTTTGCTCCACAGGCTGCAGCCCTGTGAGAGCCTTGGCCTCATCTCAGTTAAGAGACTGGGAAGTCATGCATCTCCTGAGAGGGGAACCGCTTTCAAAGTCTCCAACCCTATGCCTGGAGCCATGCTGTCCTCCAAATCACTGCTTTGAAGAAGCAGGACATACTCCACCAACAGCCTCAGTCTGCGTGACCTGATGCCCCAGAACAGACTCTGCATTTTCTCACTGGCTCTGAAGCAGCCCCAGGCCAGGCCTCCAGAGCACGAGTGCACAAGCCGAGCCAAGGCCTCGCTGGCAGATAATCCCCACATGCCCTGAAGAATGGCTTTTTGCTGCTTTAAGAATCATCCACAGATCGGAAAAAGAATGTTCTAATTGGAAAACCTCCCCGCCATGGTTTTCCGGAGTTTTAGTACAGTTGGCCGTCAAGGAGGCTCCTGGGATGAGGAGGAAGGGAAGTCATGAGGAGGAGACAGTGGGCTCCCTGCCCAGCAACCCCTCATCTCCTGGCCAGCCATTGCCGGCCAGCACAGGGCCATGCTTAGGAGTCCAGGGGCTGCTTGCCTTTAGCTGGGAGCTTCTCCACAGAGCCCAGCCCAACCCAGTCCCCAAGGGGCCCCATTGCCTCCCCAGTAGTATTCCAGGATCCTCTTGCAGGATGCCCATTGGGTTTTGAGAGTCAAAGCCTGCAAGAGGAAAAGTGTGGAAGCTGCCACCTGCTCAGAAACAGGAAGGCCAGAGTCGGTGCTGGGATCTGTGAGGCTCATGGTTCTGACTGGGGCCGTGGGCCGAGAGGCCTGGCAGGCTACACATGAACACTGACTTCTGAACAGTCCCATCTGTCCCAGGAAGCAGGGAGGAAGGCAGCCCAGACTCTGCTCTTGCTAAGCCACACCTGGTAAGTCACTGGCTGAGGAAGCTGTGGCCATAGCCACTTAAGGAACTGACAAGTGCCAGAGCTGTGGATTTGCTCCTCTGGGTTTGCTGTTGCACTTGTGGAATGCCACCTGGGAAGGGAAAATGTAGTGCATCCCTAAAATCCCAGTGTTCCCTCTTCACCCAGGAGAGGACAGGTTACTGTGGCTCATCCTCGCAGGCTGTAGACTTATTAGTCTTTTTCCAGAAGCATCCCTGGATGCTCATCTGCCTTGATGGAAGCAGCTTTAGAGAGAATAGAAAAGTGTAGGTGTTTCCTCCTTGCCCATTATCCCCCACCTTTTAAAGCAAGATGCACAGTTTTCCTCTCCTCCCCCTGCCCCTCCCCCTCCTCTTCTCCCTCCTCATGCACAAGTTGCTGCTGGCCAGATTCCCCCTTGATGGAAATGCAAGTCTTCTTATCACAGGGCAAAGGCCTGGCTCCCATCACAAAGGAT